TCTTGTTGTAAAATGATGTATGTAATGATGTATTCTTGTTGTATAATATTTTATGTATGTATTGATGTATTCTTGTTGTAAAATAATATATGATGTATGTATTGATGTATTCTTGTTGTAAAATAATGTATGATGTATGTATTGATGTATTCTTGTTGTAAAATAATGTATGATGTATGTATTGATGTATTCTTGTTGTAAAATAATGTATGATGTATGTAATGATGTATTCTTATTGTAAAATAATGTATGATGTATGTATTGATGTATTCTTGTTGTAAAATGATGTATGTAATGATGTATTCTTGTTGTAAAATAATATATGTATGTATTGATGTATTCTTGTTGTAAAATAATATATGATGTATGTATTGATGTATTCTTGTTGTAAAATAATGTATGATGTATGTATTGATGTATTCTTGTTGTAAAATAATGTATGATGTATGTATTGATGTATTCTTGTTGTAAAATAATATATGATGTATGTATTGATGTATTCTTGTTGTAAAATAATGTATGATGTATGTATTGATGTATTCTTGTTGTAAAATAATGTATGATGTATGTATTGATGTATTCTTGTTGTAAAATAATGTATGATGTATGTATTGATGTATTCTTGTTGTAAAATAATGTATGATGTATGTATTGATGTATTCTTGTTGTAAAATAATGTATGATGTATGTATTGATGTATTCTTGTTGTAAAATAATGTATGATGTATGTATTGATGTATTCTTGTTGTAAAATAATGTATGATGTATGTAATGATGTATTCTTGTTGTAAAATAATGTATGATGTATGTAATGATGTATTCTTGTTGTAAAATAATGTATGATGTATGTATTGATGTATTCTTGTTGTAAAATAATGTATGATGTATGTAATGATGTATTCTTGTTGTAAAATAATGTATGATGTATGTATTGATGTATTCTTGTTGTAAAATAATGTATGATGTATGTATTGATGCATTCTTGTTGTAAAATAATGTATGATGTATGTATTGATGTATTCTTGTTGTAAAATAATGTATGATGTATGTAATGATGTATTCTTGTTGTAAAATAATGTATGATGTATGTATTGATGTATTCTTGTTGTAAAATAATGTATGATGTATGTATTGATGTATTCTTGTTGTAAAATAATGTATGATGTATGTATTGATGTATTCTTGTTGTAAAATAATGTATGATGTATGTAATGATGTATTCTTGTTGTAAAATAATGTATGATGTATGTAATGATGTATTCTTGTTGTAAAATAATGTATGATGTATGTATTGATGTATTCTTGTTGTAAAATAATGTATGATGTATGTATTGATGTATTCTTGTTGTAAAATAATGTATCATGTATGTATTGATGTATTGTTGTTGTAAAATGATGTATGTATTGATGTATTCTTGTTGTTATTCTTGTTGTTGTTTGATGTATTCTTATTCCAAAGTCACTCAAAAATCTATTTTCGTTTAAGAGTGAGAAAACTAATTACCACCTTCGTGATGTCTCAAGTGGTCTTTATTTACCAAAACCACGTACAAATAGCATGAAAAATAGTTTATGTACGGCGCAGCAAACATTTGGAATTCTATACCAAAAGAAATTAGGGAAAGCAAGTCACTTTCTTCCTTTCGAAATAAAATTGCTGCTCACATTAGTGCTTGGTAATCCTTGTAAATATAATTTACCTGTAAATAACTCAAAACATTTGTTACAGTATATCTTTTAAATTTATAAATTACTGTAAATAGCTTAGCTTATCATCATATTCTGCATGTAAAATAATTTTCTGGCACACGCCCCCCGTGGAAATCAGCTACGGTTGACGGGATCAGCGTGGATAAATAAAGTTCTACTACTATTAAGTGATCTATATACAATATGCTAACATAATGCAATTTTGATCTTGTATAATCATTTCAATATTAAACGTGAAAATCGTTGCAAAACAAAAGGTGAGAGTTTTTTATTTTTCGCGCTGTACTGCGGCCAACGAAAACAATGTTTAGGTTTGTAGCATGTTTGCGTCGACTTTGCGCATTGTTAATGGCGCGCGCACGCTCCTGAACGACTCGATAATTATGATGTCATATAGTTGGTTGTAGTACGCCATGATCTGGTGTTGGTACGATGCCAAAATCGGCGAGAATCGGGAAATTATTGAAATTACTTTGTGCAGAATGTTGTTGTTGTGGTGGCAAGAGACGCAGGTCGAAGCGCAAGACGCAAGAAGATAATTATTATTATTATGCAGGCAATGGAGATTATTATTGCGATGATTACTATGACAACGACTATTATGGCGAAGCATACTATGAACACAATGACTATTATTATTACGACGACACGGAGTTTAAACGAAATCCAAGGACTAAATCAAAACAACCGCCTACCCCAGAGAAACCAGATTTACCACCGCGAAATAAGAACCAATCCAGTCGGAGAAGATATTGATGTCCAAAATTGCCAAATTAGGAAGAAACTCAAGAACTATCGCATGTGACAGTTTATAAAACAACAAGAGTATTCGAAAAATATCAAATAGAACATTTTCTGTGGCAACGAAATAATGATGTAGTACTAAGCAATATTTTACTGCTTGCAACATGATCAATGAGCATGCATCTTGTACAAATAAATATCTCCGCAATACAGCAAAATTTCTCTTTTTTGTAGCCCCGCAAGGTAGGACAACTGGCAAGTTTTGATCCTCAAGGTTTTATGTGAAATACTTCATGAAAGTAACTGAGCATATTTTAAACAAACATAAATCTATTTCATTTTGTTAATAAATACAGAAATTGAGCCAAACCATAATATTTGATCATATTACAGCCCATAACATGTGCTGTACAATATTTAGTAGTATTAGGCTGCTTTCTTCAATTTTCCAGATGCCATAGCATAAATGGTAGCAAGGGTAACACCAACACCAACAACAGAAAAACCCATTGCAATATTGTAAATCATCTTGTCTCGAGAACCACCTCGTAAATATACAGGTGCTGCATGGTCGCCTCCCTAGGAGAGGCAAAGAACATGTTAGTCAATATTTTTAAATAAAGACACTTTGAACAAGTCCTTACCTGAAACAATTTTTGATATTTCAAGATATTACTTGTTCGATTTGCAATAGAAAAACTTCCAGTCGAGCCAGATGATGCCATCACTGGACGCGGGATCTCTGGTCGAAGCTCTGTCAAAACCTAGGGAAAAATTTAGCCGTGTCTGGAGATCAAGTTATATGAATGATAATCCTAAATCTAATTCAACACCTAATCCAAACTCACTCTCAAATATATAAGCAACAACAATAGCAACATCGCAACTGAGATATTTATTGTGCCATACAAACTTTATATATATAAGAAAAAGATATGTAATAAGATATTTAGATTTTTACTGTGCATATAACACATCTACGTTTTTGCAAACAACAGTGTTTTAAATTAAACACCTTTCAAAATCTAAAACTGCATATTATGTATATTATTATACATTGTAGTTGGTAAAAGCAATTTGATTGGCTAAGAGCTAACAGTTAAATCGCGCAATCACGCAACCTACACAAAATTCAGTTATCTGCTAGCAGATAACTCAGTTATCTGCTAGCAGATAACTGAATTTTGTGTTAGGTTGCGTGAAATTGAATGAGTGTACATTTAAAATGAGTGTACATTTCAATTTTCAAATGAATGTACATTTCATAATTGTAATGTTTACTTTAACAAGTAAATATTTTAATACGTTAACATCTTAACGATAATATGTTTCTTTTATATTTGTAATTAATTTAACTGTTGGACTTCTGGAGACTTGTTTATAGAAACGTTTTACTTGAACAGCTTTGCCAGAAATCATATTGAATATAACGCTTACCGAGACCTTGATAATTTTGCATGTATAATAAAACAATTATTGAATTCGGTTTTTGTGATATGCAAAATTATCAAGGTCTCGGTAAGCGTTATCAGCCTCGCCTTCGGCTCGGCTGATAACGCTTACCTCGACCTTGATAATTCCGCATATCACAAAAACCTCATCCAATAATTGTTAATTATTTAATTGTTATATTATTTAATTAATGTGTATTATTTCACTCAAGATTTAGGAAGGATAGGTTCATTATTTGACTCAAGATTTAG